CTTAGTTCTTTATACGCACTGACCTCGTTTTCCAGCTCTTTTTCTTTTGTCAGGAGGTTAGCTTTTAGCTCTTCCAACTCCAATTCTTTTTTTTTTGTTTTTTCTGGGACTTTTTTGAAGTGGGCAAACTCTTGCCTGAGTTGCACGTGCTCCTGTACTTTATTATTATACAGGACACGGATCTTCTTATGTATGTTCTCCAGGTCTTGTAGTTCCTTTTCTTTCTTCTGGAGAGTAGCAGTAACTTTTTGCAACTCCAACTCTTTTTCATTGACCTTTCCCTTGACTTCACTTGAGTTGTCCAGCTGGTGTTTTAACTGCGCATTTTCCCGTACTTTATATTCATACAGGTCCTGGAGCTGCTTATGTGCTCTAACCTCTTCTTGGAGTTGCTGGTCTTTCTCCTGAAGAGCATTAGTGAGCTCCAAGGCCTTTTCTTTGGCCATCTTCCCCTCAGCCTTAAACTTGAAGTCCAAAACAAAGTTCTTTTGGACCTGATCTTCAAGCTGGGCCCTTGTCCGCTCCAACTCTCTACGCAGCTCTCTGACCAGAGCGCTGTCCTCCAGGGTGGAGGTTCCTGGACCAGACTTCTGTCCTCAGGGTTTGAGGAGTCCTGGATGTTGGGCGACACCTGGGTCTCCGCTGGCTTCTGCACGCCGCCTGATGGTGTGGGGCAGAGCAGAGCCTCCAGGTTGAAGTCTTCATCGTAGAGGTGGGCGTCATCCTCTAGTGTGTAGAGGTGCCAGGGTTTTGAGGAGAAAGTGTTGGATCTGTCCATGTTTGTGTGCGTCTTCACCAGAGTCCTGAGAAGTTGTGAGACAAAAGTGTTGGCTGTGCCCCTTATTACGTGACTTCTAGAATGTCATCTCCATGGTGATGGAATAATCAGATTATCTCCACGGTGATGATGGATTCTTATTTCTTATTTCTTATTTTATTTATTGGTAAAGGGACAGTACATATTAATGAACATTAAAAATGTAAATATGCAAAGATTATAGCCAACGTGGCTCATTTCCATCTTCAGTCCCTCGGCAGGTTGATGTAAAATCATCTATAGGACGAGGAAAAGTACAGCAACAATCACACAAAAGTACACAACACCAGCACACTCACTGTACACAATTAGTTTCAAACAGTTCATTTGAAGTTCAAAGTCAGAAGTTTAAGAATTAAGTCAAGAGTTAAACCAACAACCCCTCAAAATAAAAGAAAAGGAAAATTGGTTAAACATGGTGACATATTTGACCATTGAATAACCACTGAGCTTGAGCTTCACCTTAGTTAACACAAGTTCATTAATAACCACTGTTAGAAATTAACTATTATTCATTATTAATAAACAAAACTATTATTGATTTAACACCAAAAATGCAGCACTATCCATGTGTTAGGGTTAGTTCAGCATCTGTGATCATCTACATTCATGTGTGTTGGAAATCTGTGTGTTGTATGTAAAATACATATGACATAATACATCAGATATATTATTATAGAAGTAAATATTGCTGTGTTTAGTATTTACAGACATAGCAGGAGCTCAGTTGGTGGAGCATTCGCCCACTGATTTGAAGGTTGGTGGTTGGATTCCAGCTCTCGACATAAACATCACAGGTTGAGCGGTCAGATCCACTGACCCACAGGTTGGCTGGTGTGATTCCAGCTCCCACAGATGAATGCTGTCGTTGTGTCCTCGGGCAAGACACTTAACCCACCTTGCCCACAGTGTCTGCGTACACGTGTGTGTGAATGTGTGTGTGAATGGGTGAGTGGTTCCTTGTTGTAAAGTGCCTTGAAGGTGGAAAAGCGCTATAGAAAAATGTGACCATTTACCATAATTCCACATGCACATAATAATATTTTATAATTCAGAATTTAGGAAGAAAGACACCTTCTACGCATCAAAAAACTCATTTCATTTCTTTTCATATGGAGAACTTTGTATTTATTTTCCTCATTATTTATTATTTGCAATTTTAGTATGTTTTAAGATATTGTTCAGCTGTATCTTTCTCTTTCTCATTACATTTGATTCCAACAGGCAGTAAATCATAGTTTAGAGGGGAAAAGTGAGCATTCACATTCCCATTTTACTCTTTTGATTTCTTTTATCATGTATTATATCATTTTTTGTACATTCACTTTACCCATTTCTGCATCAAAAACAAGCTACCGCAGTATGCCAAGTATCTGGCATGTGAATTAAACAATGTGAAAAAAAAACAGCAACAATAAAACACGAATAAGTACTAAATAAAGGCCAAAGCACACATTTAAAATATTTTTTGTCATTATTTTTATTAATGCATGTAAAGTCATGTTTGGAGGAGCTTTTAGCGCTGTTGACGCCTCGGCCTCCTCCACTGCTGCTCCACTATGACTTTCGGGTGGCTGGATCTTTCACGATCACGATTTAGCTTCAGGAGACGCAGCTCCTCTTGTGTTGAGAAGAGTTGAGCAGTCAGCTCCTGCACCCTCCTGGACAGGTTTTCATTTTCCTTGCTGATTTGATCTCCACCAACATCATAACAAGCGCTGTGGCTCTCTAATGTAAGTTCTCCAAGTTTTTCTTTCAAATTCTCATTGACCTTTCTGATGTTGGCCAGCTCCTGTCTGAGCTCTACTTTGTCTGCCGCCGACTTGTTATAGAGACATCTTAGTTCTTTATACGCACTGACCTCGTTTTCCAGCTCTTTTTCTTTTGTCAGGAGGTTAGCTTTTAGCTCTTCCAACTCCAATTCTTTTTTGTTTGTTTTTTCTGGGACTTTTTTGAAGTGGGCAAACTCTTGCCTGAGTTGCACGTGCTCCTGTACTTTATTATTATACAGGACACGGATCTTCTTATGTATGTTCTCCAGGTCTTGTAGTTCCTTTTCTTTCTTCTGGAGAGTAGCAGTAACTTTTTGCAACTCCAACTCTTTTTCATTGACCTTTCCCTTGACTTCACTTGAGTTGTCCAGCTGGTGTTTTAACTGCGCATTTTCCCGTACTTTATATTCATACAGGTCCTGGAGCTGCTTATGTGCTCTAACCTCTTCTTGGAGTTGCTGGTCTTTCTCCTGAAGAGCATTAGTGAGCTCCAAGGCCTTTTCTTTGGCCATCTTCCCCTCAGCCTTAAACTTGAAGTCCAAAACAAAGTTCTTTTGGACCTGATCTTCAAGCTGGGCCCTTGTCCGCTCCAACTCTAGACGCAGCTCTCTGACCAGAGCGCTGTCCTCCAGGGGTGGAGGTTCCTGGACCAGACTTCTGTCCTCAGGGTTTGAGGAGTCCTGGATGTTGGGCGACACCTGGGTCTCCGCTGGCTTCTGCACGCCGCCTGATGGTGTGGGGCAGAGCAGAGCCTCCAGGTCGAAGTCTTCATCGTAGAGGTGGGCGTCATCCTCTAGTGTGTAGAGGTGCCAGGGTTTTGAGGAGAAAGTGTTGGATCTGTCCATGTTTGTGTGCGTCTTCACCAGAGTCCTGAGAAGTTGTGAGACAAAAGTGTTGGCTGTGCCCCTTATTACGTGACTTGTAGAATGTGTCATCTCCATGGTGATGGAATAATCAGATTATCTCCACGGTGATGATGGATTCTTATTTCTTATTTCTTATTTTATTTATTGGTAAAGGGACAGTACATATTAATGAACATTAAAAATGTAAATATGCAAAGATTATAGCCAACGTGGCTCATTTCCATCTTCAGTCCCTCGGCAGGTTGATGTAAAATCATCTATAGGACGAGGAAAAGTACAGCAACAATCACACAAAAGTACACAACACCAGCACACTCACTCTACACAATTAGTTTCAAACAGTTCATTTGAAGTTCAAAGTCAGAAGTTTAAGAATTAAGTCAAGAGTTAAACCAACAACCCCTCAAAATAAAAGAAAAGGAAAATTGGTTAAACATGGTGACATATTTGACCATTGAATAACCACTGAGCTTGAGCTTCACCTTAGTTAACACAAGTTCATTAATAACCACTGTTAGAAATTAACTATTATTCATTATTAATAAAAACAAAAACTATTATTGATTTAACACCAAAAATGCAGCACTATCCATGTGTTAGGGTTAGTTCAGCATCTGTGATCATCTACATTTCATGTGTGTTGGAAATCTGTGTGTTGTATGTAAAATACATATGACATAATACATCAGATATATTATTATAGAAGTAGTAAATATTGCTGTTTAGTAGTTTTTACAGACATAGCAGGAGCTCAGTTGGTGGAGCATTCGCCCACTGATTTGAAGGTTGGTGGTTGGATTCCAGCTCTCGACATAAACATCACAGGTTGAGCGGTCAGATCCACTGACCCACAGTTTGGCTGATGTGTGATTCCAGCTCCCACAGATGAATGCTGTCGTTGTGTCCTCGGGCAAGACACTTAACCCACCTTGCCCACAGTGTCTGCGTACACGTGTGTGTGAATGTGTGTGTGAATGGGTGAGTGGTTCCTTGTTGTAAAGTGCCTTGAAGGTGGAAAAGCGCTATAGAAAAATGTGACCATTTACCATAATTCCACATGCACATAATAATATTTTATAATTCAGAATTTAGGAAGAAAGATACCTTCTACGCATCAAAAAACTCATTTCATTTCTTTTCATATGGAGAACTTTGTATTTATTTTCCTCATTATTTATTATTTGCAATTTTAGTATGTTTAAGATATTGTTCAGCTGTATCTTTCTCTTTCTCATTACATTTGATTCCAACAGGCAGTAAATCATAGTTTAGAGGGGAAAAGTGAGCATTCACATTCCCATTTTACTCTTTTGATTTCTTTTATCATGTATTATATCATTTTTTGTACATTCACTTTACCCATTTCTGCATCAAAAACAAGCTACCGCAGTATGCCAAGTATCTGGCATGTGAATTAAACAATGTGAAAAAAAAAAACAGCAACAATAAAACACGAATAAGTGCTAAATAAAGGCCAAAGCACACATTTAAAAATTTTTTGTCATTATTTTTATTAATGCATGTAAAGTCATGTTTGGAGGAGCTTTAGCGCTGTTGACGCCTCGGCCTCCTCCACTGCTGCTCCACTATGACTTTTGGGTGGCTGGATCTTTCACGATCACGATTTAGCTTCAGGAGACGCAGCTCCTCTTGTGTTGAGAAGAGTTGAGCAGTCAGCTCCTGCACCCTCCTGGACAGGTTTTCATTTTCCTTGCTGATTTGATCTCCACCAACATCATAACAAGCGCTGTGGCTCTCTAATGTAAGTTCTCCAAGTTTTTCTTTCAAATTCTCATTGACCTTTCTGATGTTGGCCAGCTCCTGTCTGAGCTCTACTTTGTCTGCCGCCGACTTGTTATAGAGACATCTTAGTTCTTTATACGCACTGACCTCGTTTTCCAGCTCTTTTTCTTTTGTCAGGAGGTTAGCTTTTAGCTCTTCCAACTCCAATTCTTTTTTGTTTGTTTTTTCTCGGACTTTTTTGAAGTGGGCAAACTCTTGCCTGAGTTGCACGTGCTCCTGTACTTTATTATTATACAGGACACGGATCTTCTTATGTATGTTCTCCAGGTCTTGTAGTTCCTTTTCTTTCTTCTGGAGAGTAGCAGTAACTTTTTGCAACTCCAACTCTTTTTCATTGACCTTTCCCTTGACTTCACTTGAGTTGTCCAGCTGGTGTTTTAACTGCGCATTTTCCCGTACTTTATATTCATACAGGTCCTGGAGCTGCTTATGTGCTCTAACCTCTTCTTGGAGTTGCTGGTCTTTCTCCTGAAGAGCATTAGTGAGCTCCAAGGCCTTTTCTTTGGCCATCTTCCCCTCAGCCTTAAACTTGAAGTCCAAAACAAAGTTCTTTTGGACCTGATCTTCAAGCTGGGCCCTTGTCCGCTCCAACTCTAGACGCAGCTCTCTGACCAGAGCGCTGTCCTCCAGGGGTGGAGGTTCCTGGACCAGACTTCTGTCCTCAGGGTTTGAGGAGTCCTGGATGTTGGGCGACACCTGGGTCTCCGCTGGCTTCTGCACGCCGCCTGATGGTGTGGGGCAGAGCAGAGCCTCCAGGTCGAAGTCTTCATCGTAGAGGCGGGCGTCATCCTCTAGTGTGTAGAGGTGCCAGGGTTTTGAGGAGAAAGTGTTGGATCTGTCCATGTTTGTGTGCGTCTTCACCAGAGTCCTGAGAAGTTGTGAGACAAAAGTGTTGGCTGTGCCCCTTATTACGTGACTTGTAGAATGTCATCTCCATGGTGATGGAATAATCAGATTATCTCCATGGTGATGATGGATTCTTATTTCTTATTTTATTTATTGGTAAAGGGACAGTACATATTAATGAACATTAAAAATGTAAATATGCAAAGATTAAAGCCAACGTGGCTCATTTCCATCTTCAGTCCCTCGGCAGGTTGATGTAAAATCATCTACAGGACGAGGAAAAGTACAGCAACAATCACACAAAAGTACACAACACCAACACACTCACTATACACACAATTAGTTTCAAACAGTTCATTTGAAGTTCAAAGTCAAAAATTTAAGAGTTAAATCAAGAGTTAAAGAGTTAAACCAACAACCCCTCAAAATAAAAGAAAATGTAAATTGGTTAAACATGGTGACATATTTGACCACTGAATAACCAGTGTTTTAAAGCTTTAGAAAATGCTGCCAGTGTTGAAAGTTCTCGTACATGAGCAGCGCTGTGTCCATGTTTGAGCTGCTCGATAAGCAAAAGAGATTTGTCCAAAGGTACAAAAGCAGTCGCCTCTAGAGCTGCTCTTGTTGTGCGATTTGAATTTCGTTTCACAAACTCCTTCAGAGGAGGTGGAGCAAGATGATTAAAAACTTTGTAAACCAAAATAAAATCTGCATATTTGATTGTGTTTAGATGTTTAGTCCCGCTTTAGGAAAACATTTTGAGAACAATAAAACTGTTCGTGAGAAGGCCTTAAGTACTAATTTGTTTGTAAAACCGTGTTGCGAATGAGAGCCAATGTCCCTTTTAATTTAAGCCAACAAAAGTCTATACTGTTATTCGCATTGGTGTTATAAAAGTATTTTTCTGACACTACAAGTATCATGTGCCAAATAACAAAGCGCAAAACCAGATACAGACGCCCACGCAAATGTAAGAGTAGACTCAGAGTAAAACCTGTGCTGGAGCTGCCAGAACCTGCAGACCTGGGGCACTCTGGCCTCCTCCCACCGCTCTCCATCCACACAGGAAACGTCTGCTCACAACAGATGAACAGGCCCAGATTTTTTGTTTAATATATATACAGTATATATTTTTATTAAGGACAACAGAATATAACATTTAGAAAATAAAACAACAATCAACATTTAACGATTACAATATTCAGCATAAAACAAAAACATAAAGCAACACCCACAACACCAACAACAAATACAAAAAAAAAAAAAAAAGCCTCCCCATTTCCCCCCAACCAGAAACACTGACACAAATTTGGCTAAATCAAACAAAACTAGAAAAGCGCAGACCTCCGCCAAGGACTACCCCCATTTTTTATATAAATTGCGATAAAATCAGTCTTCTGGATCAGATCCGGATCAGCCTTTGGAATATGAAAGAGGATCCCATTGTCCATCCCTGAGTCAAATTTCATGGGGTTTGGTCAATAATTAACCGAGATATTGAGAAACAACATTTTTGGCCCCATTTACCACAATGTTAACTAAAATTTCAAAGTGATCCAGAATCCAGGATTTCTTCCGGATCACCCCCGAAATGAAATCAGTTCTTCCTTTTCACATTTCCAACAAATCCTGAAAATTTCATCAAAATCGGTCCATAACTTTTTGAGTTATGTTGCTAACAGACAAACAAACAAACAAACAAACAAACAAACAAACAAGACAAACAGACAAACGCCGGCAAAAACATAACCTCCTTGGCGGATGTAATGAATGTGGTAGTGCAACATAAATACACCGCTAACATTGACACATTGCGGCCAATTCATAATTGAAATTCCTTTTGACTACGTTCAGACTGCAGGGCTTAACGCTCAATTCAGATTTTTTTGTGAAATCCGATGTTTTTGTGCGAGGTCGTTCACATTTCCAATTAAATGTGACTTGTATGTGACTCCAGTGTGAACATTAAACGGCCCAAAAGTGTCCCGCATGTGACACTGGAGACACGACGACGTCAACCGCAGCGAGCGTCTCTGTGTTTATGGAAGTTGTCCAAACATGGACGCAGCATCGAGCACCTGGAGATTTTAAAGTTCCTCTCGTACCGGAGCCAGAACATGAACAACTTACTTGTTTTAAGGAGGAGATTGAGAAGGAGAAGGACGAGGTTTTTGGGTCGTGGTGTTTTATGGGGCAGCGGCAGCGACGTCTGTTGAAAGGAACGTGTGGATGTGGAGACGGAGCCAAGAGCGGTGAGTGGTGATGTGCTATATAACGACTGTAATGTAATCCCCTACAGATTACAGATTACATACCCCAAAATGTAGTTTGTAATGTAATCCATTAAATTAGTTAAAGTGAGTAACGTAATCTGAATACTTTGGATTACTTAATTTGCTGTAGAGAAGCAAAGTTTTGTCTGCTTAAAAACTATAAAAAAGACCAGACTTTCCTTAACCAAATTAAAAATATTATTGATAGAAGATGAGGAGACACGGTCCACACAGCATGATTTAGTCCTGTTTTAGTCCTTTTAAATCCTGTTTTAGACCTGTTTTAGACCTGGTTTAGTCTTGGTTTAGATCTGGTTTTAGTCCTGGTTTAGACTTGGTTTGGATCTGGTTTTAGACCCTGGTTTATACCTGGTTTTAATCTGGTTTAGTCCCAGTTTAGTCCTAGTTTAGACCTGGTTTTAGATCTGGTTTTAGATCTGGTTTTAGACCTGGTTTAGATCCTGGTTTAGATCTGGTTTAGTTTAGTCCTGGTTTACCTGGTTTAGACCTGGTTTTAGACCTGGTTTAGACCTGGTTTGGACCTGGTTTATACCTGGTTTTAGTCCTGGTTTACAGTTTTGTATCATGTTTTTTTACACTCATGAAGAACTATCGTGTGGGAGCGTGGATGATGTGGATGATGTGGATGATGTGGATGATGTGGATGATGTAGTTGTGGGCGGAGCTTTGTACAGGCTCGTACTGCTGACCGTCAGGACGGTTTGAATAGGGCCCAGGAGAGATTGCTAAATTACTCAAACATGCATGGCTGACATCTAAAACCCCTTCAGGCATGTTTCTGGTGAGGGAAAAATGTTACATCAGCTCAAAAGATCGATTTTTGCGTCATACTCCCTCCTCAAATGTGTTCTGATATTTTTTAAAAGTCAAGACGCGCTTCTTTAGAAACTTGTGTGACTCAATATTTGACATTTTCTTCAGCACATACAGGAATATTCATCAAAAAAAACAAAAAAAAAAAAACAAGTTATGGTGAACAGGTCTATGGGCAGGGCAAAAAAAAAGACAAAATCAAGAAAAAATACAAAATGGATTTAAAGAGCATATTTTCATTAGTCTGTGATCAGTCAGTTCATGATCCTGTTTATTAGTTTGATTTTCAACAAAAAGGTGAGAGCGACAAACTGAAAAACTGACTGTGATTTTATTTGAAAAGGGACTTATCAGCTCACCTGGTCTAATTCCAGCTACCGTATTTTTCAAACTATAAGTCGCACCAGCCAAAAAATGCGTAATGAAGAAGAAAAAAACATAAGTCGTACTGAACTATACGTCGTACATCGTAAAGTTCTAGTAAAAACAACAGAAGAGAGAACAACAGACTGTTAACGTCACATATGAACAGTTCGTCAGATAAACTATAACATAAACAACAGAACAGAACAAGTTTAACAAACTCTCCATCTCACTCCAAATCAGTAAATCCATTAAATTCTTCATCCTCGGTGTCACTTCTGAGCAACTCCACGACCTCCGGAGGTAAACAGACGCCGCTTCCTCTTCTGTGTCGCTGTCGTCAGACTCAGCATCAGTTCCAGTTAGAATTATTCAATCAATCAAACTGTATTTGTAGAGCATTTTTCATTATATTGAAATGTAGCACAAACTGATTCACATGGAACAGAAAAATGTTTCTATACAACAATTTAGACCGGGACCAGACCAGAACTGAGTCCGGGACCAGGACCAGGACTGAGACCGGGCCTGAGATTGGGACCAGACCGGGACCAGACAGAGACTCAGACCAGGACCAGACCAGGACCAGACCGTGATTGAGACTGGGACTGAGACCGGGACCAGACCAGGACTGAGACTGGGACCAGAATGGGACCAGACCAGGACCAGACCGTGATTAAGACTGCGACTGAGACTGGGACCAGACCAGGACCGAGACTGGGACCAGAATGGGACCAGGCCGACACCGAGACCGGGACCAGACCAGGACAGAGACCAGGACCGGACTGGGACCAGACCAGAACTGAGACCAAGAATGAAACTGGGAACAGGACCAGGACTGAGACCGGGACTGAGACTGGGACCAGACCAGAACCAGACCAGGACGGAGACCAGGACTAAGGCCGGGACCAGACCAGGACGAGACTGTGATTGAGACTGGGACTGACACTGGCACTGAGACCGGGACCAGAACGGTACCACACTGGGACTGAGACTGGGACTAGACCAGGACTGAGACCGGGACCAGACTGGGACCAGACCGAGACTAAGACCGGGACCAGACCAGGACTGAGATCGGGACCAGACCAGGGACCAGATCAAGACTGCGACCGGGACCAGACCAGAACTGAGACCATGAATGAAACTGGGAACAGGACCAGGACTGAGACCGGGACTGAGACTGGGACCAGACCATGATTGAGACTAGGACTGAGACCGGGACCAGACTGGGACCAGAACGAGACTAAGACCGGGACCAGACCAGGACTGAGATCGGGACCAGACCAGGGACCAGATCGAGACTGCGACCGGGACCAGACCAGGGACCAGATCGAGACTGCGACCGGGACCAGACCAGAACTGAGACCAAGAATGAAACTGGGAACAGGACCAGGATTGAGACCGGGACCACACCAGGACCAGACCGGGATCAGATCAGGACTGAAAACCTGTTTTAGTCCTGGTTCAGTCCGGCATCACAGTTTAAATCACGGAAACGGGAAACAACTGTTATCTGTTTTTTCCACA